GCCAATAGTGCTTCTTGAGAGGGATTTTACAGTACTAATCCAGTAGTGCTCCAATTTCCAGATCCCATGTGTCCTGTACTACACAAGGACAGGGAGTGTATCTGCTTATATTTTAATCTCCTACTATATGTAGACTGGTAGAATTCTTGTAAATATACACATGCTTGTGTATGCTAAGCACTCTTCAGTGTGCCTCTCACAGGTTTGGTAAATACATGTGCTCACAAATTAATTCTTGGAATGCCTTTCACTCCCTGGTTATAATCTCAAATTGGACTTATTTTTCTAATTTTTACATGCTTTGATTCTAAAAGGTCCATTTAATTCAGATGTCACTCCCTCTGAGAATTCTTCCCAGAACCAACCACAGTTAAGGGCTCTCAGGCTTTGTAAAAAATTTTTACCCAGGTCTTCATTTGTTGAAGAAGAAGAAGAAAGAATAAAGAAGGAGAAGAAGAAGAGGAGGAGGAGGAGAAGGAGGAAGGAGGGGGAGGAGGAGAGAAAAAAAAGAAAAAAACAAAACAAAAAAACCACAACTAGACAAAGTCATTCGTGTGTAAAATTTATCTCTCATTCCTATCCTGTTCTGAACTCCCTGCCCTTCACCACTGAATTTGTGAAATTTTAATGAATTACCTGAATTAAACAAATTATCAAATGAATTGAACAAAAATTAAAAATATATAATTGAAAATGTTTAAAATGATAGTATTTATTACTATACTTCGAATTTTGAGGAATTTAAAACCACAGTTCACACTGTATCCTGAAATAAATTCTAGAAGGCTTAAATAATTTAATATATATTTTTAAAAACACAAATAAGTGAATAAGTAGAAGAAAACAGAATGGAATATTCCATCTTTAAAGATTGAAGAATTTCCAGAGCTTAGAAAACTATTAAAAATCAGCCTGGCCAACATGGTGAAACCCCGTCTCTACTAAAAATACAAAAATCGGCCAGGCGCAGTGGCTCACGCCTGTAATCCCAGCACTTCGGGAGGCTGAGGCAAGGGGATCACCTGAGGTCAGGAGTTCAAGATCAGCCTAGCTAACATGGTGAAATCCCATTTCTATTAAATTGCAAAAAATTAGCCAGGTGTGGTGGCACGCACCTATAACCCCAGCTATTCAGGAGCTGAGGCAGGAGAATCGCTTGAACCTGGGAGGCAGAAGCTGCAGTGAGCCAAGATCATGCCATTGTACTCAGTCTGGGAAAAGAGTGAAACTCTGGGCCGGGTGCAGTGGCAGGCAGGTCATGAGGTCAAGAGACCAAGACCATCCTGGCCAACATGGTGAAATCACATCTCTATTAAAAATACAAAAATTAGCTGGGCATGGTGGTGTGTGCCTGTAGTCCCAGCTACTAAGGGAGGCTGAGGCAAAAGAATCACTTGAACCCAGGAGGCAGAGGTGGCGGTGAGCTCAGAATGAGCCTCTGCATTCCAGCCTGGCAACAAAGAGAGATTCCGTCTCAAAAAAAAAAAGGTCAGAAAGGTATAATGAACAGGTTTTATGTTAGTACCTAAAAAATAGGATATATTGACTACAAAAGGTTGATGTCTATATTACATAAAGAACTCATGAAGAACAACTTTTAAATCTCACTATTAGTTCAGATTGAAGCAGCAAGGTTCTGCTTTCACCTATTAAAGAAAAAAAAACTATGAAGATAATAGCCACATAATTGTTAAAAAGTATTAAAACTGGTGCTCCTCAGTGCTTCTGGAAGCAGTATGAATTGCTATAACTATTTTGGAAAGTTGCTTGGTACTATGAATTGTGAATATCCATCTAAGAATATTTATGCCCTTTAACCCAGCAATTTTATTTCTCAGAATTTTTATCAGGCAAATGATCCTAAATATGAGAAAGAAAGATTCAACACATTATTTTATTTATTTATTTTTAAAACTTTTGTAGAGACAGTCTCACTATGTTGCCCAGGCTCGTCTCATCCGAATCTCCTGAGCTCAAGCATCTTCCCACCTTGGCCTCCCAAAGTGCTGGGATTATAAGCATGAGCCACTGTGTTCAACCTTAACATAGCATTTTAAAATATGGTACAGCAGTACACAGGCCAGCAATAGGAATGGTCAAATATAGCCTATCTACTCAGTGTGGATCTGAGTATAATGGTTAAAAAAAAAAAAGAAGGAAAGGAAGTATTCCAAAATCCTTTTCCTACTTTTCCACATTTCATTTACTGTTTGATTTAGGATCTGTCAAATGGAGACTGCTTCTCCAACCTGAGTGAAGTTACTGTTGCTGTGAAAATGACATATAGACAAGCCATGGAGAGGCATAGGCTGGTTGGAGTTTCCCTTGCCCTCAAAGCTGCACTGCCTCAGTCTCTTCCTGAAGCACTTAAAGTTGGGGCAGCAGCTGGAGGGTAGGGGTGGGCAAAAGGAGTCTGTGAGCCTCAGTGAGCACTGTGGCCTGGACACTCACTCTGTTATTGTTTCACACAGGGAAGGTTTAAGGGTCCCTGGACACCCATTCAAAATATTCTTTCGGCCGGGCACGGTGGCTCAAGCCTGTAATCCCAGCACTTTGGGAGGCCGAGGCGGGCGGATCACGAGGTCAAGAGATCGAGACCATCCTGGCCAACATGGTGAAACCCTGTCTCTACTAAAAATACAAAAATTAGCTGGACGTGGTGGCGTGCGCCTGTAGTCCCAGCTACTCGGGAGGCTGAGGCAAGAGAATTGCTTGAACCCGGGAGGTTGCAGTGAGCTGAGATTGTACCACTGCACTCCAGCTTGGCGCCTGGTGACAGAGTGAGATTCTGTCTCAAAAAACAGAAATAAAAACAAAAACAACAAAATATTCTTTCATCATATTTGGGATGCTAGTTAATGGATTATTTATAATAATATGCAGGCATAATTTCTAAACAAAAGCAGAATTTCAATAAGAGGTTTTAAAAGGATACATATTCTTATTGCAGAAATGCTGTTCTGCCTTGTTAGGGACACAGACCCCTTGACATGGAAAACATGACATGCTCCCCTGAGAAGGAAAGCAAACATGATAGGTGGGTGTGAGTGCCATATGGACCTGGAGGGGGAGTGGTTCTCAGGCTCCAACAAGAAGACTTTCCCAAGTGTTGTCTGTATTTTTCTTGTACTCCAAAGTACACTCACACACACAGACACACACGAAGGACACTACTGACACTAAAGAACAATGACACTGTGATGGTGGTTTCCAAGATGTGCTTACAATGCAGAAAGTGGGAAGGGTAAGAGCAAGACTCTGTAGTTACGCAGATCAGGGTCTGAATCTGGATACAACTTATGTGATCTTGGATAGGAAGCTCTTCTCATGTGTAAGAATGAGATAATGCATAAAAAGCCACTAGCACACTCTCTCTGGCCACATAGAAAACAGCCGGGAAATGGTAGCTGTGCCAGTAGTTATTCTAAATAAGGTCCCAAGTGTAGCTAACTGTAGTTGCATGTAAGTGGTAGGGGCCTGGAATGTCCAGTGCTAGAGGCTACCCTAGGAAATTTGACTCCTCACTTCTTTCCCACTGCTACTACCTGCTACACTCTGCTGTATAGATTTGTTCAGAGGAAGGGACTCTATGGAGAGAGAGGTGAAAAGGGAGAATCACATGGTTTTTTGTTGCCAGCTCAGCTCAGGGACAGAGCTCCTTTTTACTAAGGGAAGAGAAAGGCCATTTGCCCTAGTTTTGTGCAGAATTCAGCAGCTCCAGAACAATGATGCATGAGATGTTAGAGCTTAGAAGGCAGCATCTTTGGGCTTGTAGAGTTCTCAGGGTGAAGCCATACTAAAGAACTTCATCCCCAGAGGATGTGCAGTGGGACCACATGGGACACACCCTGGAGACCCCAAGAAACACTTGGTGGTATCTTGCAGGGACTGCTGCCCTTCATAAAGGCAGGGACACAGAAGCAGTAAAGTTTGGGTTTAACTGCTAAAGCAAACTCATAACACCCATAGGCTGAAAAGACCTAAGAACATTTATATCTTGTTAAGAATGAAAAAGCCAGTAGATTGCAGTTGGTGATAGAAAGATGGTAAATTACAGGCATTAATAGAAATGGGCAAGGAACAAAAATGGGGAGGGGCTTAAGTTGCCAGCAAAACTTGGTAGCTATTGGCAACTCCCAGTCTCCTGAAGAAGTAAAGGCTTTTGAGGTTTATCCTAACTTTGGCAATAGGCTTCTAACTTTTGTTTAAAAATCATTTTATTAGGCCGGGCGCGATGTCTCACGCCTGTAATCCCAGCATTTTGGGAGGCCGAGGCGGGTGGATCACGAGGTCAAGAGATCGAGACCATCCTGGTCAACATGGTGAAACCCCATCTCTACTAAAAATACAAAAAATTAGCTGGGCATGGTGGCGTGTGCTTGTAATCCCAGCTGCTCAGGAGGCTGAGGCAGGAGAATTGCCTGAACCCAGGAGGCGGAGGTTGCGGTGAGCCGAGATCGCGCCATTGCACTCCAGCCTGGGTAACAAGAGCGAAACTCCGTCTCAAAAAAAAAAAAATCATTTTATTATAAAATATATAATGAAAAGATACATAAAAAAGGCTTCTAGGTTTTGTTTTTTTTTTTTTTTTTTACTTCTTGGCTTCTAGTTTTTAAGTAACATTACTGAATTTATAGGGATCAAAGAGCTAAACCATCTGTTGTAGACATTAAGAAATGAAGGCTCAGAGAAATTTACCCAAGATTGCACAGCTAATGGTCATATTTTTTATTTTTAAAGAGTCAATCTTGCTGTTTCACATTCTAGATCTTTTTATATTGCTGCTGAAAATTGATCTTATTTTAAAAATCTCATTAAATTCAATTTAGTAAGTTTTCCTCTAGCATATACTTTTTGATAAACATCATATTTGATAAACATCATATGACTCTAGATTTCTTTCATCCTTCTTAAAATTCCAGGTAATTTCTAATTATAAAATGAGGTATAAAGCATGCTGCAATGAATACTTAAGAAAAAGAAAAGAGGCAGCGAGCTAGTTGTTGCAAAATCCATTTATTTTTTTGGGAAAATGATGGTATCTTATGTTTACAAAGTCCACAAACAATTTCTTATGTAAAATGTATAACCCATATTTTGGTTTCATTTATAACAATGTTAATTGTGTTTCTTAAAGCTTTCTAACATTTAATGAGTAATTTTAACAGACACTGGCTTTTCTACTGAAAATCTTAAAAAGGAAAATAATATATTTACTAAATGAGTTACTTAAATTTTCTATATGGAATTTTAAATGGAATGTCTATTTTGTTAAATCATCAAAGTTCAGGCAAAGAGCAACACATTTTAAAATTGTATTAAAACTTATGTTTATATAAGCATGCTCCTTACTGGCTGGCAGACCTTTGAGTTGATGTGAAGTCTGCTAGCCATGGTATGTTGCTCAGGTGGCAAAAGTACTTCTAAGAGGCCCAGATTTTCAAACTTCTATCAGTTTCCCTCTGTCACCTTCAGATAACTCTTGAGATTCAGGTTGCTGTCACCTAAGTAAATTACCCATTAATTGGGTCTATATTTTTGAGAGAGAGAAAGGTCTGTAACTTATGATCAAAGTCAATGGCTCTGAACTGAGGTTCCTTGTATTTTCTGGTCATCTTGACACCCAGGTATGTTATGAGTTCACATCTTTCCATAAACTGCTCCATCTTCTTCTTATACTTTTTTCTTGTATATTCAGAACCTTTGGGATTAAATGCTGTAGAAAATTTCACAGAACTGTGAATAATTTCTGCTAGGTAGTGAGTCATTAAATGAAAGAGAAGGCAACCTGGATGTGTATTTCAGTTAGGTACATAGTTATGGTTGAGAAGATATCCAAATCCCAAATAAAATCTGGAGAGTATTCTGTTTTAGGTCATAACTGCCTGTTTTCACCCTTCTTTATGGCACGGATTATTGAGAGCTCACTATATTACTCATAGTCCTTACTTTGAAAACTAGAAATTTAACTTTGATATTTAAAATATTTGCCCTGTATTGTATTTGCTACTAACACACACACACACACACACACACACACACACACCCACACACACACACCCCACTCTCTCTAACAAAGAAGGCAACTCAGTTTAACAATCCTATTCATCACTTATACTACCATTAATGTTAAATTCATTCTGAGTAGTAAATCGTTAAAAAAGACATACCTTTTAGATGAAGTGCTATATAGAGTAGTGCAGATCTCCTTATACTTAAGAAGGGGAACTTGGGCTTTAAACATCCTGCTGAATTCATTGCTTTTATTAGAGAAGTTGCAATACCCTGCAGGGAGGGGACAATTCAAATTATGTATATACTTGAGTTTGGTTTCTTTTCTTAGTCCCAATAAAGAGGCAAATATTATTTATTTGCCTCAAATAGCCTCCTGGAGTGGGGATAGGGCTTATAAATATGGTTAGATGACCAGTTAGCCAACAGCAAAGAAATAAAAATATGTTTGATTAGGAAAATGAAAATTACAAACTGGCTTAGTGCCAGCTGGGCGATGAATAGGCGTATGGGCTTCATTACACAGTTCTCTCTATTTTTATATGTTTGACATTTTTTATAACAAAAAGAGATGAAAAAAGGGGACCCTGGGCTTTGCGTTATCTTGGCCCGCATCTGCTTCCATTCTCAGAAATGGCCAGACTGCCTCCCACTCTGAGGACCCATGGCCACCTAACAAGGAATTCCAGAGACCACAGTAGTCAGTACTGGTAAGATTCCAGAGCCCAGAAGGTAATAAGAGGCCCTCCTGATAAAATTTGGCCTTCATGAGAATACTCCTCTCTGGGTGGGCTTCATCTGGCATTTTGATGTTAAACCAGACTGAAGGCTAACCTTATAGGCAAGTTGAAAAAATCAAAGTGGTTGAGAACTACTGACAAAGGTTTGAAATTGTGCCCTAGGCATTTATTTTGTAGAATTTTAAAAAGTTTTAAAAATAGGTACATATACACCATGGAATACTATGAAGCCATAAAAAATGATGAGTTTGTGTCCTTTGTAGGGACATGGATAAATCTGGAAACCATCATTCTCAGCAAACTAACACAAGAACAGAAAAATAAATACCACATGTTCTCACTCATAGGCAGGTGTTGAACAATGAGAACACATGGACACAGGGAGGGGAGCATCACACACTGGGGTCTGTTGTGGGGGAATAGGGGAGGGACAGCAGGGGGTAGGGAAGTTGGGGAGGGATAACATGGGGAGAAATGCCAGATATAGGTGACGAGGGGATGGAGGAAGCAAACCACATTGCCATGTATATACCTATGCAACAATCCTGCATGTTTTGCATATGTACCCCAGAACCTAAAGTGCAATAAAGTATATTTTTTTTAAAAAACTTTAAAAATAGTAAAAATAAAATAGTAAAGATAGTTGTTGGCTGCTGCTAAGTTTTGCTATTCTTAAAAATCATACTTGGATAAATAAAACATAACTTGAATAGGATAAATAAATAAGAATAAATAAAACTAACTTTATCTGGATGTGGGGCAAAATATGGGCTTTTTGGTTTGGTTGGGTCACTGCAGCTCCACTCTTTGGAGTAGTGAGTGAACAACCCTCTCCCAGACTGAATCTGCACATTCCAAATTATGAAAAAGTTTCACAGACACTGAAATTCAAAAGTAAGAACCAAACTACATCTATATAATTCAAATGGAAACAATTTTGTGATGATCTACTTTCTCTTTACTTTGGTGCAGATATTTCAGAATTAGCTATGGAAGCAGGGGATTTTCATACATTTTATTTTAAACACTACACATAAACAAAATAGGCTGAGTGAATTTGCAGCTTAAAATCAGAAAACTCTGCCTTAAATTCGATTGTTCCCAAAATGAGAATTAGTGTTAAAAAGAAGAAATCATTTGTATTCTTCTAATATATATGACAGAAAATTAAGTAAAAGAACCTGTTCCAAATATCCAGGCAAAGGAAGACTAGTAAGAAGTATCGGTTCCCTTAACGGAGGAAGCTTGTATGGAAGCTTCTGTTCCCAGTATTTCAGTGGCGACCTAAGAACACAAAATTTATTAGATGGATGCTCACAGTTATACTCAGCGTGTATAGATAGGATTAGACAAGAGACTATCAGAAGATAAAGTTCACTACTTGTTTTTCTGCCCTGGAGAAAATGATACAAGGGGGAAGGCTGGGGCTCCATGAAGTGCACAGCTACTCACGTCAACTGGGTACCCAGTCCTACTCACCTACTCTCAGTTTTCTCCTTTTTCACAGTAATTATATAAAACTTTATTTTCTTCAAACTTCTGACTCTCCCAAATGCCCCCTCGCCCCAGGCAGATTCCATGCTATACTTAGAGAAGCCATCGGGATGGGACTTCCTCAGCCCACCACAAGCAGAGCCACCCACATGTTCTCTTCCTGTGGAGGAGATGCCTCCCATCTGAGACCAGGCCCCTTGGTCCCACCACACCCTCTCTTCAGGCATCTTACTACAGCAGCTGCTGGCTCCCTGCCCTGGCATCTTTGCCACTTCCTTCTTTATTGGGTCCTTCCCATGCACATGCATTTAAGCATCTTTATAATTCCCCATTTAAAAAAAAAAAGAAAAACCACCTTTACTCCTTAAATCCTATATGCCTTCCAGAAATGAACATCTGTTCTCTTTTTACAATTAAACTTCTTCAAACAGTGGCTTCACTAGAGATTGCAAGGTGCCACACAAATTTTATCTGCAGATGGGATTTGATGCACATGTATTTTATTTTTAAATTTGAATCAAACGTGGATGTTTAGGAATCTGAACAATTTAAACAGCAATGTGCTTTCCAGATTATTCCAGCAGGAGATGGTCAGCTGCTGGTCCCTTCAGCCAGCCGTGTGCAGTCCAGCGTGCAGCAGGCCTCCAACTCCTGTGTCTTCACACCCAGCCTGCTTGCCTGCGTCCCTTGCCTCCCGGCTGCTGTCGGTATCTGTGTTTGCTTGTAACCTCTGGATTACAGGCAAGATCCCAGTTTCCACAGCTCTCATCTGCTCCTTGGAGCTCTGTAGTTGACTTCCTCTCATGTCACTGGACAAAACCATTCTTGGCAAGATTACCAATGACCTGCTATACCCAAAATCTCAAATGCTTTTCAACCCTCATCTTGCTTGATCTCTGAGCAGGATTCGAACCTGTTGCCACACCATCCCTCCCCTCTCCTCCCTCAACCCTCTTCATCCCAGCTCTCCCTTCATGTCTCTGTAGTTCGTCTTTCTCAGTCTCCCTCATAAGCTCTTCTGGCATTCCTGCATCGGTGTTTCTCAGGCCGTGGTTCCAAGCCCGCTGCCTTCCCCACATAACTGTGGTGACCTCAAACATGCCATCGTATTTCAGACAAGATCATTCCAGCAGCCTCATCACTGGTAGTTCTGCCTCCAACCCATGATCTACACTTTAGGAGTGGTCTGACTCCAGAGCAAATTTGATTCTTACACTGACCTCACTTAAAATCAGTCAATGTGCTCAGATTGCCTTCAGGATCACTATGAGGACACAAACCATGTATATCATGTGAGTCCATGAAACCGCAAATGCTTCATGGTGGTCTTACTTGACCTTCTGAACTCTGACCCTGCCCCCACCTCCAGCCTTGCCTTCACTTGGTCCCCTCTCCACATCGCATCCAGCTATGCTGAAGTTCCTGCAGCTCAGGAAGACCCTAGGCCAGGTTTGTTGTTGGTCCCTCTGCTTGGAACATGTCCCTCTTTCCCTTCAACTTGCCAATTCCCACTCCTTATCCTAATCTTACACCAACACAGAATTCAGTTAGACCTGGTAGTCTTGCCTCCAACCCATGATCCACACTTTAGTAGCAGTCTGACTCCAGAGAAAATTTGATTCTGATTCTTTGGTCTGAATCCAGGCATTTCTCCACCCTAAAAGCCATCCCATTCTGTAATTATTAGGCACTCAAAGTCCATCTTACCCTGGATGGCTTTGGGTAAGGGACCAGTCCCTGGAACAGACACATACACATACACACACACCCCCCTCCCCAGTTCCCAGAATGTTGCATGCAACACAGAAAATTTTCAGTAAATATCCATGATTTAGTGAATAGTCTCACCTCAAAAATTTCTGGAGTTTTTCTTTATTCTCACAAATATATATACGATTACGATATTCTAAAGCACAGTTAATGCTACCAGGTACTAGGGCTTCATATCTGGAAGACCAAAAAACAAAACAAAACATAACCTCTACTGGATAATTAATGTGCAGCATTGTAAAAATAAAATTTCAAAAGTATTTTATCTTTCTACCTATGTACCTCAAGGAAGAAAAAGAATATTTTTCCAATTAAATAAGAGCGACCTTTTGACCAAAATGTTAAGATTGTTGAATGACCCACTTATTTGGAGTAGCAATATCATTCTATACTTCCACGAAGGCCAGGACTTGCCTTTGTTTTCCCTCCTGATAGGTCACTGGACAGTATCCCTGGAGCTCTGCACACTTAGGGAATCGACTCTTCAGCTCTGACAGAGTCAGCCTTTTGGGGATCATGTCAGCAGATGGAAGCGGATGAGGTGCTAAGGGAGGCACGTACAATTCTGGGTTCTCCAAGAATTTCTATTAAAAAAGAATTTCAGGAGCAAGATGATTTAAACCAGGAACGCTATGGCAATCAGAAGGCCACTGAGGCTCTCCTGCACCCTCCCCATTTTCAGTAGCAGCATTCTGCTGTTCCTCAAACTGTGAGAACCTCTTCTCTGACTGGAAATTCCCTATAGGAATATTCCCAAGTGATCACATCCAAGGTTTATCCTCATCTCAGTTGCTCATTCATTCATTCCTACAAAAAATACTTGTGCTCCTGCTATACGACAGGCACTGGAGGAAGCAGGCCCCTGCCAGCCCGCCTTCCTGTCCTGCTGTGTAACCAGTTGGGTGCCTTTGGCAGGTGAGTTAACTTCTCCAGCTTCAGGAATCGCTCTGTAAAATGGAGGGGGTGGACCAGATACATGGCCTTTAATGTCACTTCCAGTTTTAAAAATTCTATGATTACCATTAAGTAAGCAGGAAGAAATAAATATCTCATAATAAAGAGACAACAATTCTAATTCTCCAAGGAAATAAAATGCTCAGAGGCATCTGATTTGTTTTCATTGTTTTCAACTATAAATCTTTTAAAATCATCAAATTATGGACATTATGAGAAGAATTCCATATTCTATTCCACTAAGCAGAAATATAAGGTATATAAAGAGTTCTAGTGATAGAAAAAAAAATAAAGTGCAAGAGGCATATATCAGCTCTTGCTTCATTTCTAGTGACTCTGATTCCCTTTGGCAACCCTGGGAGCTGAATCCCCTGGATCCCCTGTGGGTTGAGCCCTTGGTGTTCAGCATCTCTTCCACTGATGGGGCTCACTGTTGGCTCTCCCCGCCTGTTAGGCTGGCCCAGGCCAACAGCCCATCGTTGACCCTGGACTCCTACAATGTTTCAAAATATGTCCTGGATGCAGTTTTGGAGCTCACCTCTGAGTTGCCTCACTGGTCTCAGAGTCACAGGTTCCAGTAATGGGGCCCCCAGTCCCATGCTTCTGGGCACGTATCCCTTCCTACTGATGAATTCAAATATAAGACATTTTCTTTCCTTAGTAAATATTTGGAGTTAGAGACAAACTTACATTCAGTTTTTCCTGAGAACTCATTTTATAGTAGTGCCCTCTGAACTCTGCTGCAAATTCCAAGGAGTCAGCTGCAGAGCAATCAAATAATTCCTGGGATTCTGCCAGGCTGACAGGACAGAACTGTCCAAATTCTCCCAGGCGAGAAAGCAGCTCTTGAGGTGTGATACATAACTTGTCAATGCAGGCAGCTTTTCCTATTATTAACATATTAACTATTATTATATATACATTTTCCATAGAAAACACAATGATTTTTAAATTAAAATAATTTTAATTATACAGCACTCTGCAAATACATACACATTATAAAATTCCAAACAATAGAGTAAAAAGTAAAAGTTACTATTCACATCTCCATCACGTCAATCCAATACTTAATCTGAAAGGTAATCATCACTGTTGGATTTGTATCTTTTGCAGTCTTTTTTGTATATATCCACATATGTACTTTTTTTTGCATGTAGTATGCTTGTGCTACTATACTATAAACATTATTCTGCAACTTGCTTTTATCAGTCAGTTATGGTCTTTGAAATCTTTTCTTATAAGTTTATACAATTTACCTAATTCTTTTTTTTTTCCTTAAGACGGAGTCTTGCTTTGTTGCCCAGGTTGGAGTGCAGTGGTGCGATCTTGGCTCACTGCAACCTCCACCTCCCAGGTTCAAGTGATTCTTGTGCCTCAGACTCCCAAGTAGCTAGGATTACAGGTATGTTCACAGCTGGCTAATTTTTTGTACTTTTTGTAGAGATGGAGTTTTGCCATGCTGGCCAGGCTGGTCTTGAACTCCTGGCTTCAGATGATCCGCCCGCCTCAGCCTCCCACAGTGTTGGGATTACAGGTGTGAGCCACTGTACCTGGCCAATTTACCTAATTCTTTTTAACTGATGCATAATATTCCACTGTATAAACATACATGTAGTTTATTCAACCATTTATCTATTGATGAATGTTTTGGCTGTTTTAGTTCTTAGCCATTATAGGCTACATATATGATACACACACAAAATTTATACGCGTGTGCATACCCACACATTTATAAATCTGCTACATTAAAAAACCTATGGACTAGATTTCAGGAAGGCCATATAGTTTGTTGACATGTTGTTACTCACACAAACTTCTCCCTGTGCCCAGATGCCATCCAAGAGAAGGAAACAAACATTTATCCAAAAGTGATTGGCTTTAAAGAGTAGATTTTAAAAAGAAAGTGCCCAGGTTCCTTTAATGAATAAGATTAAGAGTTTTCTCTCTATGCTTACCTAGAACAAAAATGTAAGTATACACATAACAAAAGAGAGTTTTTCTCTCTAATACTCCACTGGAATGGGGACTTGAAAGAAATATGAGATGTTATAGAAAATACAATTACTTTTAAATACATTTTAATTATTATGAGTGGACTTATTATAGCCAGGATATTTTATTAGCTATCCTTTTACCACAGAAAAGTTTTACATTTTTTTTAAAGATTATGCCTAGGAAGGACCCAAATTAACTATAAAATTATGAAGCATAAATCATGGTGTTTTTTGTTAGGATAGAAATGATCTATCTAAATATACTGTTACAGAACTGTAATCCCTCATCTTAAACACTTGGGGCCAGATATGTTGGATAATTCAGAATGTTTTAGATTTTAGAAATACATTGTACTCAGCCATATGTGGGGGCTCACGCCCATAATTGCAGCACTTTGGGAGGCTGAGGCGGATGGATTGCTTGAGCCCAGGAGTTCAAGACCAGTTTGGGCAAAGACTACAAAGACTACAAAATTTATCCTATTGTGGTGGCACATGCCTGTCTCTACAAAGACTACAAAAATTAGCCTATTGTGGTGGCACATGCCTGTAGTCCCAGCTCCTTGAGAGGCTGAAGTGGGAGGATCTCTTGAGCTCGAGAGGTGGAGGCTGCATTAAGCCACTGCACTCCAGCCTGGGCAAGAGTGAGACCCTGTCTTGAAAAGGGGATGGGAGGGGAGTGGAGGGGAGGGGAGAGGTACATCACATTCTCACAGAGACTGGAGCAGCACCCTGTAATCTATAAGATGAAATTTCCTCAACCAAATAGGATGACCCTTTCCCACTTATGGGATTTCATAAAAAGACTGTAAATAGACATATGTCAGCTCATGTCAAGTTTTGCCCTCAAATGATTTGTAAATAAACTTGAGATTTTTAGAGGTTTTTGGATTTTGGAATCTCAGGCCAGAGGTGTGGAACTGTGTCATGTCACATGACTGACTGCCTCACTGATCTGCCTACCTCTATGGGGATGGAGGCTGTGGGGATCCGGGAGATGATGTTCCCTGATGCCAACTACCATTTCCATCTCTTCAAAAGGCCAGATGTAACCCCGAAAAGGAGATGGTTGGGAAACTATGCCCAAAGAGATTTCCATTATGCAATCTCTCCACAATTTTGCTTTCAAACAGGGAGTCGGGGAGGGGGAAAGGAACATACACAAAATGAAGGAATCTTTGTTAACTGGCATTCCTTTAAGCAATCGCACTCCTTCAATAAGGCAGACCTTTAAAACCATTGGCTTATTGGCTCTCATCCTCCATTCATCTCTTGAAAGCAAAGAATTATCAGTGTGGCATCAGCACTACTCCCAACAAGGTCTTTAGGACACAAACTGATAAAGTGACAGTATTTTCCAAATGGTAGCATCAAAGACTTATCAGAGTCAACAGAGGTCAATTAGAAACCCCAACTTGTGGCTCATGCCTGTAATTCTAGCACTTTAGGAGGCCGGGGCGGGTGGATCATGAGGTCAGGAGACCATCCTGGCCAACATGGTGAAACGCCGTCTCTACTAAAAACACAAAAATTGGCCAGGTGTGGTGGCACATGCCTGTAATCCCAGCTATTTGGGAAGCTGAGGCAAGAGGATTGCTTGAACCCAGGAGTAGAGGTTGCAGTGAGCTGAGATTACACCACTGCACTCCAGCCTGGGCAACAGAGTGAGATTTCATCTCAAAAAAAAAAAAAAAAAAAAAAGAAAAAAAAAGAAACCCCAGCTTGACTTCTGAGTCCCAGAAGAAAGGACATCAGCCATTAATGAATCCCGACCTTTATCATTAGGTTCTGGTCTTCTCTGAAGAGCTGAGAGCCAGCTGCGTGGGATCTCCTGAATGTCTTTGTGCCTCTTGCACAGAGTTAACAGAAGGAGCATTATTGGCCTTAAAACAAAGTGACTTTGAACCTTACCATACCTTACCACATAAAATTATTGTTATTTAACATTCCCAACTGCCTGATTAATCTGAACATAAATCTGATTGTGAATTCCATCACCATATCATCATGTCGTGTGTATCACTGGAAGCCACAGCGTGGGCTAATCTTATGTGGCTCTAGTGGTATTCTTGATCCCTGCCTTATGATGTTCATGTCTTTGTGTAATCTCCTCCCCCATATGTGGAGTGGACTGAGTAACCTGCTTCTAATAAACAGAATATAGCAAAAGTGAGGGGATGTCACTTCCAAGATTAGTTTACCATTATAGCCTGAATTATGTTTCCCAAAAAGATATGTTGGAGTGCCCCCAATACCTATGAATATGACCTTATTCGGAAATAGGGTTAGAGAAATACATACAGACAGACATGGAAATGAGAATGACATGTGAAGACACAAAGACACAAACATAGAGAATGCCATGTGATGACAGAGGTAGAGACTGGAGTGATGCGTCTATAAGCCCAGGAATGCTGAGGATTGCTGGCAACACTGGAAATTAAGAGAAAGGCATGGAATAGGTCCTCCCCTAGAACCTTCAGACAGAGCATGGCCCTGCTAACACCTTGATTTTGGACTTCTAGTCACCAAAACTGTGAGACAATACATTTTTGTTGTTTAAGCCACACAGTTTGTGGCAGTTTGTTACAGCACCCCTAAGTAAAACAATTACAAAGGATGGACACTCTTTCTTGCCTTTTCTTGTTGTTCACTTGATAAAGAAAGCTGCCATTTTGGAGAGGTTCACATGGCAAGGAACCGAGGGTGGCCTCTGGCCAATAGCAGCCAGCAAGGAACTGAGGTCCTCAGTCCAGTAACACTCAAGGAACAGAATCTTACCGACATCACGCTCGTGAGCATGGCAGTGGGCTCTTTCCCAGTTAAGCCTTCAGAAAAGACCATAGTCCTGTCTGACACCTTAACTGTAGCCTTGTAAGAGACTACCCAGCTAAAGTGTGTCCAGATTTCTGACCCACAGAAACTCTGTATGTGTGCGTGTGTGTTATTTTCAGTTGCTAAGTTTTGGACTAATTTGTTACACAACAATAGATGACAAATACACTATTCTGTCTGTTGCTTATGACACAGATGAAAAGGCTAAGAAGCCCCAATATTGATTTTCTACAAAGAATATTATACTACTATGATACTATAGTGGTACTATAATATTTAGTACTATGGTACAATAATATATAGCATTATTAAGGTATATAGTATTATCATATAAAATATACTATGTGGTGCTATAGTATTCTAATACTATCTATTCCTAGGTTGCTCTTTAGCTTACATGTACTGAATCTCACCAATCCTGACAGGTTAATTTAGGATCATATGACTTCAAGTCTCAAAAGACACCCAAATGTCTCTTTTTCTAATTATTGGGATACTCTTGATGACACCTGGCAATGTCTATGTACCCTCTTCTGGAATGTGGCAGAAGAAACCTCTTTAATCCTCTATCCCCAGCCTTCTACCATCTCATTGATCAGAGTAAACCTCGGCCTCCTGGTAGGGGAGGATCACTTGAACAGTATACAAAAGAAGCAGAGCATGAACAAATCAAAACGAAATTCAAACAATCAGGTACAAGCTAGATGATCAGGTGGGCAGCGAAGCAGGAGAGAACAGGCCAACTTCACTGAGATGAAACTGTGGCAGAGGCAGGCACTGGAATCATGTAGTGGATCTTCAGTTCCCTCTGCAGGGCTGACACACTCATCCCACAGCTGCTGGGCATCATGGCGCTGATGGCTCACAGCCAGACTGGAAATTGCCCCTTTGTCATGGTTTATATAAGTTATACTCCCTCCCGGGATGGCCTGAGGTCAACGACAGGCCAATGTGGGGGTGGAGAGGATACAAAGCCTGGACCCTCCCCTCACTTTGGGGACATTTTGAAGGTCCATCCCAACACCAGTGGTTCCCCAGGATCTACTGAGGGCTTCTGCTCCTGCCATCCTGCAGGTTAGTTTCTCCCCTCTGCCCAATTTGACCGTCCTGACTTGTCCACAGGTGGTATCTCCTGATTAGAGTTTCTGGATAAAATGAAGGATGCTGCTGGGCGTGGTGGCTCGCACCTATAAACTCAGCTGAGTTTATAGGCATGAAGACAGCTGGGAGGCTGAGGTGCGAGGCTCACTTGAAGCCAGTAGTTTGAGACCAGCCTGGGAAACAAAGTGAGACCGCACCCCCCCCCCCAATCTCTATAAAAACATTTTAATGTGCAAGTTTAGTTTTCTTATGGACTCAACATTTGCATCATACTATAATAGTGTAAATAGTAAAAATAATTTTAATTCTAGATTCCTAAATAAAATTTTGCCTAATGTCACTTTGCAATCATGGCCCCATATAACTAGTCCACACATTCTGAAAAATAGCTTCTTACTATGTCAAATACTATACACCCTTTTAGTGAGAGATCATGCATTATTTTTATGTCCTAGATTCACACAGGTATTCAATAAATGATAGCTTGGGTAGCAGCAGTCATTTATTAGCGCAAACATGCCCACGTGTCATAGTCTATTTTGGCTGCTATAACCAAATGCTACAGACTGGGTAATTAACAAACAACAGGGATTTAGTGCTCACAGTTTTGGAGACTGGGAAATCCAGAATCAAAGTACCAGAAAATTTGGTGTCTGGTGAGGCACTGTTCCTCATAGATGGTGCTCTCTTGCTGTATTCTCACGTGGAAGGGACAAGCAGACTCCCTCAAACCTCTTCTATAAGGGTACTAGTCACATTATTGAGGGCAAGTCCTCATGACCTAACCACTTCCTAAAGTCCCTACCTCTTAATACTATTACACTAGGGATTCGGTTTTAGCATATGAATTTTGGATGATACCAATATTCAGACCATAGCATCACAATAATTGGATAATGCTATACATATAAAATATTGATTAAGTCATGCCTGACTCGTGTTCAAATGGAATGAATTTTACTAACATGAGTTACATGAGTCAGGCATGTTTACACTTTAATATTTTATTCTACTTTAAAAAATGTTTTCTTACCTGCTTTTATTCTTTCCAGGTATATCTGCATGTATTTATTCACCATCTGAACATTCTTAACAACTTCATTCCATACCCACCATTTGCTGTGAAATCCATCAATCACATACCAGTTCTGATGCTGTTCTTGATAATATTGCCTAATCTCACCAATATTTTTGTGGTACTTTACATTCCTGACAGCTATAATTTGTGCACTATTGTGCAATGGATAAGGCAACCTAATAGAGAAACAGAAGGAATGGAAAAATCTATTAAAAAATACTTTCCCCTGTGCATTATTAAAGTTTATTCCTTTTTTGTTGTCTTCATCGTGTACGTTACCTTTGTTCATTTCCTTTTTCTAGGAGCAATCTTTTGAAAATCTCCTTGGAAGGCACACTCAATTCAAAGATGACCATGGGAATGATTGACCTGGCTTCCAAAAGATTCATTTGATGTTTAGTTACAGGATATCCATCAATGACAACACTAACAAGGAAAAACATGAAAATAAAAAATTCCACATTTCTTTTTCTCTCGTACTTCCTTTCTGTCTTCTCTTTATTAGTAGCCCCATGCTTTTCTTTACGTTACTCAATTTATCTTCCTCATGCTTTGCCTTCTTCATTTCTGCATCTTTAATCTCAGTCAGGCCAAGAGCCATGAGGTGGGCAGGACACATCTAAACACAGTTCCGAAGGTGGGGGTGGGAGAGAGCTCTGGATTTCTACACTCAGCTTGCTGAAGATGGATTTTGGCAGAATTTGAGAGAAAATACTCACAGTACCTTGAACATTGTGTTCAATTGGTGCTATTAATCTAAACATGAAAGGGTATAGGCTTTAGAGGCAGATAACTTTAGATTTAAAACCTGGTTTGAACTTTCTGAGAGGAAATTATATTTAGCTCTTAGAGTTGTTTTAAAGATTGGAGATCAGGTATGTAAAGCAACTAGAGTAGGGCCTGGTACATATTAGATGCTCAAGAAGTAATATTTTAGTAAGAGATAAGCCGATATGGAAAAAAAGTGTGTTCTAAGCTTGCTTTTTGTAGTAAATGCTCTGTGAGGAGGCTGGGAGCGCAGCTGCAGGGGAGTTGGGGAAAGTGGCCCTATATTATTTGGGTGGGAATCATTCCATCGGGACCCATGATGCATGCCTCTGAGCAGAAATGACAAGGAGAATTTAAACTAGCTCAAGAGATTGAGATAATGAGATTGTCACTATCAAACTGAGAGGAGGGGAAAAAAAGGCTGTTTATAGCTTCTAGGAGGAGTGTTCCCTAAGGTCAGGAAACTCCGGTGAGGTGGGGGTAAGCTGGGCATGCTGGCTGATGGTCATAGTAAGCTTGGTTTGGCCTAAGTCACAGGATGCCCTTCCTCAGTGCTTTCTGGCTGTTAAAGCAAACTAAATATGGCTGTACTTCTATATTTGAGTTCTTATAGATGAACCATAACTTAGCTTAGTAGCCAGACAAGATTAAAAACCTAACTTAGGAGTATGCACCTGTAACAGTAACTGAGTCCTGGCCGATCTCAGCGGCCATACTTCAACCAGTCATAGAATGCTAAGTGTTCTAACTATGTGCAAATAAGGCAAACATCAACCTGTAACCAATCCAGTTGTTTCTGTATCTCACTGCCAATTTCTGTACACCATTTCCCTTTTTTGTCTATAAATCTTCTTCCACCATGTGGCTGTGCTGGAATCTCTGTGAATCTGCTGTGATTCTGGGGGCTGCCCAATTTGCAAATTATTCATTGCTTAATTAAACTCCTTTAAATTTAATTTGGCTGGAGTTTTTCTTTGATAACAGCCGAGTCTCCAGGCACTGGCCTCCAATTCCACAGCAGAGGGATTGTTGGCTAGGCTGGCTTCATAGAGCATGTATGAGGGTGCCATTGTTGTTTATTTAATCAAGATTAGCTCAACTTCTTTATCCTGTGAAGAGTCACTTGAGTGACCCTCAGGATTAGGGAAATTCAGGGTGAATGAACTGTGATTGTCCTGGTATTAATGTGAAATGAAATCTTTTTGACTCAACCACAATTGCCTCACTGAGGCCTTTTCTATGCAAAGCTGAACACCAAGGAGGAGGTAACTCAATTTGGGTACGTCCTGGGGCCTTTTCTGGGGATGAAGTCTGACACCTCAGAAGCTGCTCCCCAATAACTGAACTCAGGAGAACTGTTCAATAACATAATTATGGGGTCACAGACAAGGAAGGGCAAGGAGGCTCCGAATAGAAAACCTTGAGTACATCAGGGGGTTCTAGATCAGTGACCTGTGCTCAAGACCAGGGCCTCAGGTTTCATGGGGAGGGCTTTTACTATTGCATGTGGCTCGTGGCTATGCTGGAGGAACAAAGGTGAGGAGAGAAGTGTAAACTGAAGAGACAGCTCAAGTGTATAACTTTCTTGTCCAAATGCAGTGTTAGGGATGAGGCACAGCTACCTGTGCAGAGAGCTGGGCCAGACATAGACCATCTCCATTAGACTAGCACATGGGGGATGAGGGAGGGCCACTTCTCCATCATTTCATGGGGCAATGAGAAGCACTCCTGGAATGTGGAAGTCACATCAGCCTCCTTTGTGAAAGTCTAAGGCTTTTAGACAACTCAGGGGTTGCTGGAGAGAGTGAAGGGGTCTGCCTGCTAATCTGGCATGTGAATATTCAAGCCAAGTTTTCGCTTGACAGAAAATTCAAATATGTAACCATATAGGTGCCCAGAGTTTGAGAAAAGCAGATTACACCCTTTACAAGAGCTTTAAGCCCTATGTAAGTGTTTTAAATCACTAGCGAGCAGTTTCTTGAAAGATGTAACTCCTTCTGTCCCATCCTCTGACCGCATTCACTTACCCTGCAGTACTGCACACACCTTCCATCAGAGAAAGTTCTAAAGCCTGAATAGCCAGTTCATCAGGTGCTGTCATTCCTTTATGAAGATGCCAATTTAACATAAGTGCCAGCTCTGTTTCCGGGTGATTTTTCAGTACAGAACGCAAAGCTTCTCCTATTGATATACACTTTAGGCCATATTCACTTGTAATTTTTTTTGCAACTGAAAAACATAAAACTTTTCAATTTGATTAAATTTTTCAGATTCGGGGGAACATGTGCAGCTTTGTTACATGGGTATATTGCATGATGATGAGGTTTGGGTTTCTAATGATCCTGTCCCCCAAGTAGTAAACATAGTGATGGCAGTGGCTGCAGCTGCCCAAACCAGGCTGCACACCCAGGCCTCCTGCTCTATGGAGCAGGCAGGAGTCCCGCCCTCCTGGGCAGGCTACAGTCACCCAAACTGCGGCTGTGGGTCCCAGCCTCTCTGGGCTTTTAAGGCAGCCAGAAACAGGTAGGATCTTTCCTCTTGGGTGCAGCTGCAGCCGCCTGATCCATAGCTGCAGCTCTGGGCCTCCCGCTCTGTGGAGTAGGCAGGAGCTGGGGACAAGCAGAAACCATGCCCCTTTTGAGTTGGCAGGGTGGGAGCTCCCTGGGTGCAGCTTGGGGAGTTCTCCCAGGCACAGGACCCAGGCATCTCTGCATCTCTGCAGCCTGGATCCTTGGGGTCCCGGGAACCTCCCCACCCTCTGCAAGCTCAGGGATATCTCTGTTCCTGCTGCCTGGCCTCTCTCTGCTGCTGGCCCTACTCCCATCTCTGAGCAGGGGCTAGGGCTGAGCCCCAGGAGCCATAAATGGCAGTGGGTGGCAGATTGATTCCTGGGCAGAAGGGGGTAGGTCCCCAGTAGGGCCTCACCTTCAGGCCAGGGAGGGCCTGAAGGCTGGGGACCAGGCTGCCAGTCCATAGACAGGAGTGGGGACTTGTGGTACCTCTTCTAGGTCTACCCAGGGCCACCCAGCAGGTACTTTCTCCCCTCTGAGGTCTGTAAAAGTCCTGGGCTCAGCCAGAGCAGGGCAGAGGATGAGATGAACAGAGGATGAAGAGGGCAGAGAGATGACAGGATGACCAGCTGCAGAGAGGAGTACCGTCTCTGCTGATAGCTGGAAATGACAGAACAACCAGTTGCAGAGAGGAGCCACCCTCTCCAGGGCCTCCTTTCTGCTGAGAACTAAACACCGGATGGATGACTTGCCTACATAGAGGAGCCACCCACTGTGGGTCTCCTCGGAGCTGCTGTAACACTCAATTCATCTTTGTCTTGTTCACCCTTCACTTGTCTGCCTACCTCATTCTTCCTGGATGCAGGACAAGAATTTGGGCAAAGCTGCCACAGCCACAGAAGTTTCCAGCCAGAAAAGATCCAACCCAAAGATCCCATAACAATAGTACCCAATAGGTAGTGAAAAAAACAAAACTCTAAATTTATTTCATTTCATAAATTTATCAGTTAATCTTAGTTTTAGACTCTGGCTAATGATATCAACAGCAAGCTAATTTTCACATTTCTCAGTTAAATTTCAAAAATTAAAATTGCCATATTTTATGGAATTTATAACTGTCAAAGGTCAGTCATTATCAGTCCTTCAGGTATGTGGCTGATAGATCTGGTTAATGAGCCAAGTCTGTTTTTGTTTTTTTTTCCTTAACAAACCAATTTTAAGGGTTTTCTTTCTTCTGCATGAGGTGGCAAAATTTTTAAGAGCTTTGCAGGTCATCTTATCTGTACTCTTAATACCTGATGATATGCCCCAAGTAACAATCTAACAGCCCCGTTTTACCGAACTGTATCATTCCCCTGTCTGTCTATTACGGACTCCATGCTGCAATCAGCATAGCATGCCCATATGGTTAGATCTCAGTTAATCCTCTAGAAAATAATTTTTAAAATGTATAATGGCACACTTGACATTTTAATAGTGACTTATAGCCTATGAAGAATTTTTCTTCTGTAATTTTTATTTGGTATTTTTAACTATTTCATCAGGTAGGTGGAATGGATACTGAAATTCCAATTTTATAGATGAGGGGAACTGATTTGTCCAAGGTTACATAGATGTTGCCATTGGCTGAAGAAAGACTCATATTGACTTCTCCTAAGTGAGACCACAGACAGGTAAATGGCTTCCAGTAGCTAGTACATGTGGGTGTGCTCTGTTATGTGTATATTCCTTGCCTGAATACTGTAGAGATAGCAGAGGGTGGAGGATACTCAGAACCCATCTCATCCCCTGAGGACAGTGATTAACTGACCAGAGACCACCGTCAGGACCACCCAACAAAGAAGTTCCTGTGAGAGCCACAGAGCATGTAACCTCAGCTTTGCACAAATGCTGGAACCAGATCTATTTTTTTAAAAAGTTCTAACCATAATTAAACTCCCAAATTTGATACCTTGTTTAAAAATCAACCACCATTTTAACAAAAAATGAGATATCAGTTTACATTTTCACCTGTGCATGTAATGTTCTGCTGTCTTAGGAAACATCTGAGATATCAGATAGTCTACATTTTCACCATTGCATGTCAATGTTCTGCTGTCCTCGGAAAATATTGTTATCTTTGTGAACATTTAGGGTATGACCATGTCAGAGGTATGCAAACCAGAGCAACTCCATCTTGAGTATGGGCTGGGTAAATAAGGCTGAGACCTACTGCGCCACATGCTCAGACAGTTAAGGCATTCTAAGTCTCAGGATGAGATAAAAGGTCAGCACAAGATACAGGTCATTTTGGACTTCGCTGATGAAACAGTTTGCAGTAAAGAAGGCGGCCAAAATCCACCAAAACCAAGATGGCCATGAGAGTGACCTCTGGTTGTCCTCGTGGCAACATTCTCGCCAGTACCATGACAGTTTACAAGGGCCATGGCAACATCAGGAGTTACTCTGTGTGGCCTAAAAAGGGGAGGCATGCATAATCCACCCCTTGTTTAGCATATTATCAAGAAATAACCATAAAAATAGACAACCAGCAGCCCTTGGGACTGCTCTGTCTACAGAGTAGCCATTCCTTCACTTTCCTAATAAACTTGCTTTCACTGTACTCTATGGACTCACCTTGAATTCTTTCTTGTGCGAGACCCAAGAACGCTTTCTTGGGATCTGACTCTAGACCCCTTTCCTCTAACAATTATAGACTCTTTTGTCATGTTAAGAACTTTATAAAGCCAAAATAAACTTTTCATCTGAAGAGCTGGAATATAAAACTCCTTTTTATTATTCCTGGTGACAAATTAATCTTTGACCTTATCTCTCTTCTTCATTCTCTATTCAGTCAGTCATTAAGACTTATTGTTTTCCTTGGAAATATATCTTGTATCTGTCCTTTCCATTCCGTTCCCATTGTGACCATTCACTCTTCTTATTGTTATGTCATCTTGAAATACTACAACCAACCAGATTTTGGACTGTATGCCTTAAAGTGCAAAGTTACACAAAACATTACAGAAATCCAGTTTATCGAATGCCTTTCCAGACATGATTAAGATAATTAATGTATTATTATTATTTGTTTTGAGACAGAATCTCACTCTGTTGCCTAGGCTGGAGTACAGTGGCACAATCATGGCTCACTGTAACCTCAATTTCCTGAACTCAAGTGATCCTCCCACCTCAGCCTCCAGAGTAGTTGGGACTACAGGCATGTGCCACCATGCCCAGCTAATGTTTTGATTTTTTTATAGAGATGAGGTCCCACTATGTTGCCCAGGCTGGTCCTGAACTCCTGGGTTCAAGTAATCCTCTCACCTTGGCCTCCCAAAGTGCTGGGTTTACAGGCATGAGCCATTCTGACTAGTTATAAAATATTTTCATATACTTGTATACTTTACTTAGGATATTTGACTATAATTATGAACATCACTTTGTAATTTCTTGTATTATCTTGGTTAGATTTTGATATTAGGGTCATGTTAATTAAAAAATGGATTTGTATCCTATATGCCTTTTTGACTGTATGAACCATATGACTTAATAAAAAAGAAAATAAAAATAACTTGGGAAACTGACTCTCTGTCCCCTTGCTATGGGAGACCTTATAAAAATACAGGCATTATCTCTTGAGTTTTTAATTCTTTGAACATTTACTATAGTTTTTGTCTAAAACAATTTGATTCTGGGCCATTTCAGAGTTGGGTTATATTTTCAAATGCCTTCTCTTCAATGGTTATTGGTCTATTTAGGTTTTATATTTCTTTTTGAGTCAATCTTGATAGTTGGTTTTCTGAAGAAGTGGCACTGGTTTTCAGGGTGAAGTCATCCTCACAGGATTAACAAGAATTCTGGACAGAAATATAGTTATAATAAGCCTGAATCAGGCTACCCTTTGACACACTTCTTTGTAACTGAAAGTCACATAGACTAGTTACTGACCACTGGCATCTCCATCATTCCTGTAAGTAGGATTTCTTATGTTAGACTCACAAGACTTTTTAAGAGAGATAGGATCTCTGATGTTAGAATAATAAGGCTTTTGTTAAAGAACTGCTTAAGCAGAACCTAAATGCCAGCAGAATAGCTGACACCAACCAGTTTAAAGACCCCCACAGAGGAACCGAAACAGTAGGAGAATTCAGTTTCTTCATCTCCCTGTCCCGTGACTTCACCCTGCATTCTTCAACCAATCAATGATTTTTGCACTTCAATTCAGCCTACTCCAAAACTCTTAAAAAACCTGGCCCCAAATTCCTCAGGGAGATTTGAGATTTCCTCCTGTCTTCTTGCTCAGCTGCCCTATGATTAAATGTCTTTTTCTGCTGCAACCCAGTGTCTTGGTGAATTGACCTGCCATGTGCATTGGGTAATGAACCTATTACACTTACAAGCAGATTATTTTATGCTTGAGAAAAACAAAGGCAAACACACACTTACCTGTAGTTTTCCCAGATTTTGGAGGCCCCACAATTATAATCCTAATGGGCACAGTAGGTCTAGGTTTGGGTTGGCGGATATATTTGATTGGGTTCTTCATAAATTTGTCTTTTGTTTCTTTACTAGACAAAAAATAAATATACTGACGATGGATTACGGGATAAATTGGATTCTCTGCATTTTCAACGGGCTTGATTGTTTCTCCTTCACTTAGCTGCAACATATACATAGTTGAATTTGAAAGTTAGTTTGAATTTATACAGCACTGCTCTGAAATACATTTGAAAAAAACAATTTGTAACGTAAGAAAAAAAATTTCCTTACAGAATAAGAAAATGAATTATAATAAAAGATTAATATTAAACAATTGTGGAAAAGTACACATTATTTTACACCCATATGTAATCAATGTAATAGTTCTTAACTGGCTTTCATTTTATGACAATTATAGTCCATCTACTTCCTCTATAGTGTGTTTAGTGCATACTGAATGTGTTTGTCAAAGAGTCTAAGGTTGTTTGCATTTATTCACAGGCAAATTTATCCCCACAAAGAGGTCCATTACTAAGGTGACATTATGGATTGAATTGTCTCTCCCTTACATCCTCAATTTCTGTTTGAAGCCCTAGTACCCAAAGTGACTGTATTTGAAGACAGGGCCTTTAATAAAGGAGATAATTAAGGTTAAATGAGGTCAGAAGGATGGAACCTGAATCTAGTAGGCCTGGTGTTCTTACAAGAGAAGGAGGAGACATCAGGGTGGGCACATAGAAAAGGCCATGTGAGAACACAGTTTGAAGGCAGCCAACTGCAAGCAAAGGAGAGAGGCCTTGCCTTGTCAGAAAAACCAACCCTGCTGGCATCTTGAACTTTTAGCCTTTAGAACTGTGAGAAAATAATTTCTGTTGTTTAAGCTACCTAGTAGTATTTTGTTATGGCAGCCAGAGATAACTAATACAATTGGGTTCTTGGATTATCTTTTAGGGGTACACTGGTAGGGCAAATCCCACTGGAGTCTCTTCCATATTTTTGTACAGTTGAAATTCCACTCACATAAATATTAAGAGTTGTCATGAAAGGGAAAAATACTCATAAAAGGCAGTGTGAATAGGAATGAAATTGAAGGAGTGGTCCCACAGCTTCACACTGGTGATGATGAAGACTGAGCAATTGATCAATGCTAGGTTTGAATAACTTTATAGCATCAGATGGGCAAGCATCAGCTATCTCTGGACTTGACATAGTAGGTATGAAACAGTATGGTAATATTGCTCCTCCCTGAGAGCTACCTCAGGACAGTTGTTGCAGATCAATGGTAGCGTCAACACTACAATTCTTGGGCTAGAGTGAAGTTCATGGATGGGAGTAAATGCTAGAAATAAGGAGAAACTCGGGGAGGTGGAGGTGTGTGCTCTATGTTATACAGTTGGTGATAAAAGAAAAGCTGAAAGTTTAATGATTCCATTTTAAATTCCTAAGTATTTTTATAGCTAGATGAGACTACTAAACAATACTTATAATTTTTGAAATTATCCCGTGTTTTTCATTTAAAAAAAAAGACATACCTCAAAAAAATAAAGAAATAACATGGCTTTCAGATGCATTTGCTTATTACCTTTACTGGGTCCCAATAGCCGAATGAGCTTATATACTTGTAAGTAAAAGTGAGCATTTTATGGGCAAGGGATGCTGGTATTGGATGACATTTCTCAAAAATGCTTGCACGGTTTTCCACCAATGGTTTCAGTTTCGTATTCAATGTATATTGTACAATGTGATTTTTCCGAGCTCCATTAATGGAAATTATTGGTATCAAATACCTCTCGAGTTCATCCTGATAAGAAACATCATAAAACCAAATATATTTAGTGGGAAAAAGGCTGGTAGTAGTCAGTCACAGCATGTAGACACTGCTGGTGACTGACTACTTCAGTCCAAAACACAAATATTTTTCAGCTTCCAAGTGGCTGCATGTTGGTGACTAAACTTACTCTGACGCTCTGTGGCTTCCACATTGCTCTTAATTTATGGACTTATTACATAATTGTTAAATGGTACTGGTAAAAGAGAATACAGCCCTAAAATATGCATTTTTGAAATGTTTAAAAAAATGGCAAGAATCAAATTGCTTTTGTCTGAGTCTCAAATATTACTTTTTGAATTATAAAAAGTGAAGGAAAAGTAATAACCTGCATTATTTGTAAATTATGCATCTCTGCTTCAAATTTTTCTCCCAGTTCACCTCTCAGGCGCTCAATTGCATCAGCTTCCTGTTCTTCATCTTCCTCACCACTCATCTCTTCCTCATTTTTTGGAAACTCTTCTTCAAGGATGTTTTCAATATCATCATCGTCTTCTTCAAGGTCTTCCTCACTAATCTCTTCATCATCTCTAACAGGATTCTAAGGAAGAAAACAGTCCCTTTTACTACACATGTAAAATATGTAACAAAAGACACTATTAACAAATCATCTAGAATACTTTGTAATGGCTTGATATTGGTTGATATTGCATGTCAATAATCATCTTGTAACGCAATAAAATTTTAAATATCTGACACTTTTGGGGGCGTTATAGAACCCATTTTTGTCATATTGTCAGAATTATTTTTCTGGTTCCTTCTCATTTAGGTAGACTATTTCTTTTAATTATTTTTGAATTTATTTTGGAATTGACTATTTTTTTCTTAAATTTCTTTTTTTCCTTGAGGATGTGATTTGTGTTTATAGTTGCTTGTAAGTTCTGGGTTCCTTCAGGGGTGAAGCCTCTGTGTGTGATTTCCTTGGTGATAGTCTGATGCTGGCTTTCTCAGCTGCTGGCTGCAGTAGCAGTATGCTCAATGTGGAGCGGGTTCACTGTCTGTTTTCTGCCTGGCTCCTGGTGTAGGATGTAGCCTCCTACTTCTTTCAAAGGGTCTGTGGTTTTAGTTTTCCTGTTAAGTTCCTATGTTGCTTCTTCAAAAAAAGTTCACAGTGTGAATCTCTACATGCTATTTTGTCTTTCCAAGTTGGAGAGGCATGCTAACACTGCCTCCAATCTGCCATCTTGGGAAAAAATTTTTTAAATTTCTTTGGTACTCAGAATTTTAATACTTTCAAGACTCTGGCCCCAAAGTGGTCCCATAAATAAATACAGAGACAAAATATTAAATACTATTTATGTCTATGATTGTCAGAATGTTAAATGTTTTTGATGGTCCTCAGGAAAAATATTTAATGCTGTACAAAGAGTATAAAACACTAGCTGTCTTAACTGGGACAAGATGTTTCCTTATCTGTAAAATAAGAATAATAAATGTACCTACCTCACAGGGTTGCTGGGAGCATTAAATTAGTTAATACATGCAAAGCCATTAGAAAAGTGTCTGGCACATAGTAAGTATGTGAATGTTGGCTATTATTATGCTTTTACAGCTATTGTTCTCATTTTGTGTAAAGCAGTGTACAAATAGAATAGCAAATGCCTTTTCAGAGGCTATAGCCTATCTGAGAAAATAAAAATAATACAGAAATGATGATTAAAGACCATGACAGGATATTCGTACTAAGTCGTGTTGTGTAGGCTTTAAGTGCTATAGTTCACTTTGCACAAAACTGAACCCTATAAGAATTATCGTCCTGCACTACTTCCACACTGTTCTCCCTGTAGTATTCCTTGTTTCAGTTGGAGAACTGCCCTCCAGCCTGAAACCTGGGAGTTAACTAGACTCCCAGGATGAGAGTCCTGGATGGGCAGGGATGGAGGGTTACGAAGGACTGTAATCCTAAATAATACTTAACATTCCCTCCCTTGTGGCCCCTCTCCACTGTTTGCCTTCACATTGTCTCTTGCCTGCAATCTTCTGATTAGCTGACTATTTCCTAATCTTTCTAAATGACCAGGCCTCTGGTCCTGTGAAAAGTGCCTGGAGCTGGGACTTGGGCTTGTGAGTGCAGGAAGGAAGATGAGAGCACAAGGAACTATTCCTGCTCCTGCCCAAGCTCCCCTTTCTCCAAAAGGAGCTTGGCTATGGTGCATGGTTTTCTTAATTTTTGTTTTATTATTATAATAATAATTTAAGTTCTGGGGCACATGTGCAGAAGGTGAAGGTTTGTTACATAGGTATACACGTGCCATAGTAGTTTGCTGCATCCATCACCCCATCATCTAAGTTAGGTATTTCTCCTAATGCTATGACTCCCCTAGGCCTCCACCCCCCAACAGGTCCAGGTGTGCAATGTTCCCCTGTGTCCATGTGTTCTCATTGTTCAAATCCCACTTATGAGTGAGAATATGCAGTGTTTGGTTTTCTGTTCTTGTGTTAGTTTGCTGAGAATGATGGTTTCCAGCTCATTCATGTCCCTGCAAAGGACATGAACTCATCCTTTTCTATGGTTGCATAGTATTCCATGGTATATATGTGCCACATTTTTTTAAGCCAGTCTATCATTGATGGACACTTGGGTTGGTTCCCAGTCTTTGCTATTATTTTGTAATTGAGTGCCTATAACTTTAAATACTATCTCCAAATCTCTATTTATTGAGCTGTCCTCTTTAGATGCCTGTTTTGATTCCCCATAAAGAAGTTGTTCTTACTCTTCCTTCCAGGTCTCCCTCTCTTCAGTTTTCAAGTATTTTGTCTCCAATATTATTACATTTATATCCCTGTCCTGTAATTGGAGTTCAAAGTATTTGGTGCTTCATGTAGAAATTGATTCTAAACATTAAAAGCAAATAAATAGCATTTGATTGATTCAGAAAATGGAGATCCAATAAATAGCACCTGCTGTGTTAAATTATGTAACCCTTATTCACTACAGCTGCAGTTAGTAATATGGGGAACACAATTCTATATCAAGAAACTTGCACTATTGTAAGTAGAATGTTTTTTGTATCAAGGCTAAACATAATTTTTTCTTCTTATTCAAAATCATGGTATATTTACATTTGCCCAATATTTGAATAATGCTCTTATTGTCTATCTAGGGTTTTTTGTTTGTTTGTTTTATTGTGGTTTTGTGAGCAGAGGCAGCATTATTCACCATATCAACTGGCTACTCTTTTCAGGAAAAATATAAAAAAGGCTAATTATCAAAGACCTTAAGTATCTGAAAATTTTTCCATTTCATTTTCTCACATTATAAGCAGTTTGGTTAGGTACAGAATTCTAGGCTAAAAACCTAGCTTACTTAAAATTTTGCAAGCATTATCTTTGTCTTCTACTATCCAGTATTGTTAGTTAGAAGCCTCACACAAATTTTATCCTTATTCCTTTGTAGATACCCTTAAAAATTTTTAGAAACAAGTAGGAGCTTCTCTTTATACCCACCAATATGAAATTTCATAAGGATGTGTCTAGTGCACATCTCTTTTCATTTATTCTGCTTGGCATTCCATGGGCCCTTTCAATTTGAAGACCTCCTCTACTCTTCAATACTGGGAACTTTTCTTCTAATATTTCTTAGATTATTTTCTCCTTTATTTTCTGTTTCCACCGTTTTGAAATGCATATTGGATGCTGACCTTCTTGGATTGACCTCATAGATATTCAGTTTTTTCTTTCATATTTCCTATCTCTTACATTTTGTTTTATACTTGAGAAACTTCTTTGGCTTTTCCTTTTTTTTTTTTTTCAATTTAACTTTTAACTTATTTTAGTTTTCATGAACTCTTTTTTGTTCTCTGACTTTTTGTAGCATCCTTCTCCTGTTTTATGGATTCAAGTTTCTTCTTGAATTTTCTAAGAGAAAGTGAAATTATTTTAATGTTTAATGATGTTTCCTGGGTTGTCCATTTGCTCTGTGCTCAATTGTTCTGCTTGTTTATGTTGGTTTTTCCTTTTGTTGGTGATTTCCCTCAAGTATATGGTAACCCTTGGTTGGCTATTCATTTTTATGAATGAAGGATTAAATTGATCAGTTCAGAGCAACTGCATGCTGCCTGTATATGAGCAGGTACAGGTAATATTGTATCACACTTCTATTTAAGATGTGAAGATGAGAAGATGCAGAAAGCCTGGACCTTGCCCCAAATAATGAAAGGTATCAACCAACATTCTGTGGATCTAGAATCTTCTAAACACTTTATTTCATTCCTTTAGAAACTATTTACCTTTTTTCTTTATGGGGCAAATGTCATCTTTTTTCTTTATGGGGCTGGTAGAGGTGACCTTATAGAATTTTCCTGCAATTTACCCTCTTAGATTTTCTAGATATTCAAATTATATACAAATAATGACATTTATTCTTACTTTTTAATATGTATGCTATTTATTTTTCTTACTTTGCTTTGGCTCACACCTACAGTACAATGTTGATTTTTAAAAATCCTAAAAATCTTCACAATAGACCATCTAAGAGGCTCACAGTTTAATCCTTCCTAGGGAGGAAAAGAAGCTTTCTTTTTTTTTGGGAAATGGTAATTTAATCTTGTAGAACAGTGTTGTTTTCCCTGAAATCATGTACCTCTTAGCCCTCAAGCTGGAATATGTATATTCTAAACATCATGGTCTCAAAGATCTGCTTCAGATATGAAGAAATAAGTTTATTTAATCTCTAGCAGATAATCATAAACTATAAACAACACTCCTTTCCATTATTTTTGTCTTGCTCCCGAAGTCTCCAGGGCAAGAAAAGCAGATTTTTGAAGAGCAGTCAAAATTTAGAGGAAGAAATTGGCATAGGGTGAGCTTTCTAATTTTGTGCATTTGCCTTGGGGGAGTTTCAGAGTGGTGGTGGTTCAGTGTGACTAAAACTTTGGTAGAAAGCCAACTAACTTTCTGGATGGAGCAACCAGAGAAAGTAGTCACATCCAGGGCCACTGGAATGTAAGGATAAACGCCAGAGATGAGAGAGCCAGAGAAGGGAATACCAAAGTCAATTTGTCCAAGACTCTGGCTAACCTGTGAACCATGTACATATGGGCAGTTCAAGAACAGTATACATGGAGCTGCCATTCACTGCAGGCATGACAGAATTTTAAATTTTATCTTAGCAAGTTCATTGTCTGCTAAAACAAACATCAGTTCTTTTTGGAGGTATATAACAAAATCCAGAATCCCCACAATATAACATTTACAATTCTAGAATATAATCCAAAGTTACGAAAAATATGAAGAGTCATGAAAATTTGACCCATCCTCATGAAGAAAGATAATAATCGAATACATAGCCCAGGTGTTAGAATCACCAAACAAGAACTTTCAAAGCAGTTATTATTACGATGATCAATGAGAAAAAGGAAAATACACTTATAATAAATGAACATATTGGAAATCTCAGGAGATAAATAGAAAATATAAAAATAAACTAAATGGAAATTTTAGAACTAAAAATACAATATTTGAAATTAAAAAATTGTTGGTTGGGCTTAAATTATTTACCTTAAAGAAGAGAGAGAAAAAGCGTTGAAAAAAATCAACAGA